TCTATGAAATAAAGGAGGCTTAATTACATTAGTACCAATGATGCCCCTGAAGGGATTAACAGGGTTCCATGAGGGCATATCTCAGTCCTGTAATTGGCACCATGGCTAGTTCTGGCACCTTTTTCTGTGCTGATGCTGGCTTACTTAGTGCCACTCCCTTGGCACAGAACTGAAGTGCCCTTCCCTTGATGGAATAATTTCTGTTCTCTGAGAGGCAGTGCCTCTATGCTTGCAGCCATGTCTGATCTCTACACGGCCCTTCCTTTCAGGGTCATCCTGGAGTTGGGACACTGGTGCTGGCTCTGATGAAGTCATTGTTGGTGTTGGTGGAGCTTGTCCTAAGGCCAGTGCCAAGTCTGTTGATGATGATACAGAATTGGCAGTGATGCCAAAATGCACCGGGCAATTGGCATCAATGTCACCAGTGTCTGTTTCAACAGTTTTATTCTCAGCCTTTGTTTCACTGCTAGGCCCTGGGGTATTGTGTCTGCTTGGAGTGGCACTCACTGAGGATAAGCCTTTGGGTTCCTTTCAGGTGGATTTCTCCATTGGGTCTAAGGTGACATGCACCAATTGCACAAGTACCAGTAGTTTCAGCAACACCATCCCTCAACTTGTGAGTCCACAACAAGAAGGATTTCAAACTTATCAGGAATGAGGTCTCCCCGCAGACAGAAAAGGCACTGACTGTGTTGATCAACCAGGGGAGTAAGTCCATCGCAGGTTGGGCAGGGCTTAAATCCTGAGTCCACCATGGCAGATGGCATGAGGCACCTTGCCTCACTGTACAGCATGCTATCTTTCCGTTGTTTTTTAAAACGTCCAAATTGGAAAATTAATCAAAGGTAATACTTCTTCACCAAACTAATTCCAAAAGATTAATTTGAAACTAGAGGAAAGTTAACAAGTCAGACACTTGCTAAATCCCATCTCACTTCCATGTGCAATAAGAGAGAACCGAGGAAGGGCAATGGGCTGCTCTGCCCTTTATGTCCTTACACGGGAGCATGAGGCAGCACAGGGTGCATGTGTGGCCCAGATGGACACTGCTATTAATTTTTTTTTTTTTAAAGAGTAAGATGCTCCAGGGAAGCCCCAGAAGAAAATGAGATCACAATTACACCAAGCAGCAGGAACAAGGTCAATGTCTTGAGAAGAGGGAGTTTATTTAACACAGAGTTTGCCCTCCCTTCTTTGAAAACAAGTTCTTGAAGATGGAGAGTCTGAAACAGGATGTTTTCCTAGAGGCCAAATCCAAGCAATAATGTGGAGAGTGTGCCAAGTAGCTGCATTTGTCTGGATAGATGAAGATGTCTGTGAGGTAAAATGTGGTAGCAGTCTCACCTTGGATCAAGTAAGCCTTGACAAAGCCTTTGGGCCAGCTGGATCACAGAAATGAGGAATACAATCTGACAGCCATCTAGACCGCATCCTTTTGGTAACAGCATTGTCCAGGGCAAACTGAGCACCCCCTCAAGAAGTGGTCTTCTCCCAGAGACTCAAGGGAACTGGTGTGCTGGTCTTTTATAGATACTTTATTACCACATGGCACATACTGTTTAATGGTAGATATTTTATCTGGATCTGATATGAGATTAGTCAACTTTAAATCAGGAAACTGATTAGAACTAACCAACTTAAAACAGTATTAACACTACTTAAGGTTTTTAAAATATTTTAATTGAAACTACAGCTAACCTACAAACTGACCTGATATAATTCACCATACTGCAGTACAGCTGAAGCAAGTGATCATTTTGAAAACTACTGACTATGGTGGAAGCAGCCCTGGGTCCCCAATATATGGTAACAAACAGATCAGTGAGTTGCTGTTCTTGTATTCTTGATGATTTTGGGATTTGTAGCCCAAGAGTGGAGCTCTGTCAAGACAATTCTTAGTGGAGAAATTATTGTCTGTTGATCTTATTAACTGCCTATTGTTAACAGTGTTCTCAGATCTCAGTACCCGCTGAAAGGGGAAATAATAGAAACTAGTTGATTTGTCATAGCCTCATTTCAGCCAGTAATGAGTTAGTTAATGGAGAAAAAATTCCTATAATTGGTTTAATTTAATTCTTCTAAAATAAGTTATGACCAAAGCATTTAAATACACTATTATAAAAACCCTTAAGGTAAGCAGAGATTAAAGTAAACCAGCAGTGAGCAGCTCACCAATTTTGGTGGCTGTTGTCAAAGATCTCTGTCTCGTGTTGCTTTGAGATTGCATTATCTGGTGGTGATGTGATGCACCAAGAGGTAGGACAAGGAATTAATGTCCTCATGCAGGTCAAAGCAGGAAAGAAAGTAGGTGTATTATGAGCACACATGCACATGTGTGCACTGTCAAGAGGGGTGTAGAGGTATATTCCTGGTGCTCCCCTTTTCTGTATCTTATATACACACACACTATAAAATCTAGTAAGACATAAAAAATCACTAACCTAAAAGTTGCCTGTATCTTCTTTTCCTGCTTACATTTCTTTATTCTGATTTTCTCTACTTCCATTTCCACTTTCTTTCCCTTCTCTGTCTTTCTTTTTCTGCTTCTTTAAAAAAACACAACTCTTACCCCTTTTTGTTTAAGCTGGAACAGCATTCTTTCTTTTATCTATATAGAACAGATTCCTCCCTTCCCCTTGTTCTTCCTGTTATTTATTCTGTTCCATTTTCTCCCTGCTGCTCTTCATTCCCTCCATTCTACTCCTATCCCAACTCCTATTCTTCCTTGTTCGGCTGCTTCCTCCCCTTTTTGCCCTTCAACTTTTCTGTCTCCCATTTCTAATCTTTGCCTTCCTAAATCCTTTCTTACTTCCTTCTTTCTGGATTGCCTATTCCCTGCTTCTTGCCTTTTTTGCCATGGGTTAGTTCTTCAACAGACAACATGTCCATATTCTGTCCTAAATATATGCTCGTAATTATCAAGAGAACGTTGCCCTCTTTAGATTTGCCACTGCTACTCATTAATTCATATTGGTTTGTCCTGAAGCCATTTTCTCAGGTACAGTAAGCAGACACATTTTTAACAGGATGCTGATTAAATGGATTCTACTGTAGAACTAAACTGAAAAACTTGTCACTGAAGTGACAAAAAATATTTCTCAGTTCCTACCAACGGTGGAGTGAATGGGGGGAAAAAAGAGAGAAAGTAAGTCTGAGCTGAAAGCAAAGTCTTATTCACAGAAGGGAACTGAGAGGTATTTTGTGAAGAATCCTGTACTCAAGTGATCTAAATATAGTTTGGTGCTTCCTGAGCCTCATAGTAGGAGGCCAATGCATTCTTCATAGAGTGAAGATCATGCATTGAACATGTGATCCCTGTTAGGGTAAATGCTGAGCAGTTCAAGAGATTCTGTGAACCCATTTAATGAAGAAAAGACAGTTACCTTTTCCGTAACTGTTGTTCTTCGAGATGTGTTGCTCATGTCCATTCCATATTAGGTGTGTGTGCTTACCACATGCACGGGTGCCAGAAGTTTTTCCCTCAGCAGTATCCGTAGGGGACCGGCTCTGGTGCCCTCTGGAGTGGCGCCCGCATGGCACGGTATAAGGGGTGCCACTGGCTCCCCTCACCCTCAGTTCCTTCTTGCTGGAAACTCTGACAGTGGGGAAGGAGGGCGGGTTGTGGAATGGACATGAGCAACACATCTCGAAGAACACCAGCTGCAGAAAAGGTAACTGTCTTTTCTTCTTTGAATGCTTGCTCATGTCCATTCCATATTAGGTGACTCCAAAGCAGTACCCCAGAGGTGGGTAGGAGTTCATGGATATGTGGATTGCAACATAGCTCTGCCAAATCCAGCATCATCTCTGGCCTGGCGAGTGATGGCATAATGAGCCATGAACATGTGGACAGAGGACCACGTTGCAGCTCTACAGATGTCCTGGATAGGGATGTGCACCAGGAAGGCTGCCGAAGACGCCTGTGCTCTTGTCATGTGGGCTCTGACAATTGGCAACGGCGGAACCCCCGCCAGGTTGTAACATGTCCTTATGGACAAGGTGATCCAGTTGGCAATCCTCTGGGAGAAACACGGGAAGGCCTTTCATTCTATCTGCTGTAGCGATGAAGAGCTGAGTTGATTTACGGAAAGGCTTGGTATGTTCTAAATAAAAAGCCAATGCTCTTTGGCCGTCCAGCACGTGAAGATGCCTCTCTTCACTGGTCTTGTGCGGTTTGGGACAGAACACCGGGAGGAAGATGTCCTGGTTCATATGGATACCACCTTCATCAGGAAGGCCTGGTGGGGCTGCAGCTGAGCCGTGTCTTTGTAGAAGAAGTTCTGAGGTCAAGGCTTTGATTTCAGAGACCCATCTTCCCAACGTCACTGCCACTAGGAACACGACCTTCCATGACAGGTGAGAAATGGAGCAAGAACCCAGCAGCTCAAAGGGCGGGCCAGTGAGCCTAGAGAGGACCAAGTTAAGAGGACTATGGGACAGGAGCCCGCACCTGCAGGAAGAGTCTCTTGAGCCCTCTCAAGAATCGGATCGTCATGTCATGGGAAAACATTGTCGTCCTTGGATCAGTTGGTGAAAAGCAGAGATGGCCCCGAGATGCACTCTAATGGAAGAGTGTGCCAGGCCCTGGTTCCTCAAATGGAGCAGGTAGTCCAGGACAGTCTGTATGGAAGAACGTGAGGGAGAGATGCCACGTTCAGATGCCCAGCGGGAAAACCTCATCCATTTAGCCAGGTAAGTCAGTCTGGTTGAAGGCTTTCTACTCCCCAGGAGGACCTGTTGGACTCCTTTTGAACAGGTCCGTTCCTCTGGGTTCAGCCACACAGCATACATGCTGAGGTGGAGGGACTCGAGGTTGGGGTGTAGGAGCTGACCATGGTCCTGTGACAGCAGGTCCAGACAGTTGGGCAGGGGCCAGGGTGGGGTCACTGACAAGTTCATGAGCATGCCGAACCAATGCTGGCGAGGCCACACCGGGGCGATCATGACAACCTGCACATTGTCTCTCTTGATCTTTGCCAGGATCCTGCTGATGAGTGGAATCAGAGGGAATGCATACATCAGGCTCCCTGACCACAACAGGAGGAAGGCATCGGAGAGGGAGCCCTTGCTCAGACCTTGCCAAGAATAAAACCGGTGCATTTCCTGTTCTGTCTGGTAGTGAACAGGTCCACTTGGGGAGTTCCCCACCTTTGGAAGATCATGCAGGCTACTTCTAGATGGAGCGACCACTCGTGGTGAGAGGAGAAGTCCCTCCTAACGTGGTCCGCCAGCATATTCTTGACACCAGGAAAGTGACAAGCTTCCAGGTGGATTTCGTGGCTGATGTAGAAGTCCCATAGATGGACTGCCTTTTGACAGAGAGCCGATGAGCACGCTCCCCCTTGCCTGTTGATGTAGAACATCGAGGCTGTGTTGTCCATCAGGACTTGTACCACCTTGCCCCAGAGGTGGGACAGGAAGACTGCAAGCCAGCCGGACTGCTCAGAACTCTTTGATGTTTATATGCAACCTCACCTCCTTTGGGGACCACATCCCCTGTGTCTGGCCGTTGCCGAGGTGCGCACGCCAGCCAAGGTCTGAGGCGTCCGACACCAACTCGATGGAGTGAAGGGGTTTGTTGAATGGAACGCCATCCAGGACTTGCCCTCAGTTGGTCCACCATTGCAGCAAGGTAAGTATTGCCTGGGGAATGGTAATGATAGTTTCTAAGGGGTGCCGGGACTGGGAATAGACTGTCCCAGCAATAGTCGCAGGGGCTGCATCCAGAGCCTGGCATAGTGGATCACGTAAGTGCAGGCTGCCATGTGACCCAGCAGGTGCATACGGACCCTGGTTGTAGTCAAAGGGAATGTGGAGACTTCCGCGCTGAGGTTTGTCAATGCATGGAACCTTTTCAGTGGCAGGAACACCCTGGTGCAGGTCGAGTCGAGGACTGTTCCAATGAACTCTATCCTCTGCACCGGCACTAACGTTGACTTTTTGTTATTCACCAGTAGGCCCAGGGAGCAGCATGCGGCTTGAAGCACCGGGACATCCCTTTGGACTTGAGACCTGGAGCTGCCCTTGACGAGCCAGTCATCGAGGTATGGGTAGATCTGGATACCATGTCACCTGAGGTAAGCTACTACCACCAACATGCACTTGGTAAACACTCTCGGTGCTGTCGCCAACCCAAATGGGAGAACCGCAAACTGGTAGTGGTGGGGCCCCACTGTAAACCGGAGGAAGCGTCTGTGTCCTTGAAAGATTGCTATGTGGAAGTATGCATCCTTCAAGTTGAGGGTGGCATACAAGTCTCCCGGATCCAGGGAGGGGATAATAGAAGCCAGGGAAACCATGTGGAACTTTAACTTCTTTAGGTACTTGTTGAGGTCTCACAGGTCCAGGATGGGCCGTAGACTGCCCTTGGCCTTTGGGATTAAAAAGTACCAGGAACAGAACCCCTTGTTCCTGTAGTCAAGAGAAACTTCCTCCACCACTCCCAGCTGTAGCAACCCCTTTACCTCCTGTGCGAGGAGACTTCTGTGAGGGGGGTCCCTGAAGAGGGACAGGGAAGGCAGATGGGGGGGGGGTAGAAAGGAACTGGAGGGTATAACCCTGCTCCACCATGCTGACGACCCATCGGTCCAAGGTTATAGTGGTCCAAGAAGGTAGGAAAAGGGAAAGGCGGTTGGAGAACACTGGGACAGATGGATCTGGGGAATAGTCTGGTAGGTTGCTCTCGGGCACACCCACAAAATGACTGTTTGGCCCCTTGCTTGGCACAGGTCAAGCCTGACTGGGTAGAGGGTGGAGGCGGGTGGCTCTGATGGTGCTTGTAGCCCTTGGCTCGTTTGTGAGGCTGGTCCTGCCAAGGCTGGCTCCCCTGGCCCTGAGGCTGCTGCGGTTTGAACTGCTTACGTGCCGGGGTTAGGACATAAAGACCCAGGGTTTTCAGGGCGGAGTGGGAGTCCTTGAGGCCATGGAACTTGCTGTCTGTTTGCTCTGCAAATAGGGCTCAGCCATCGAAGGGCAGTCCTTCATTGACTGCTGAGCCTCAGAGGGCAACTCAGAGAGGAGCAGCCAGGCGGCTCTGCATGGAGATAGTGGAAGCCATGGTGCGGGCAGCAGCATCAGCGGTATCCAACGCCGCCTGGAGGGCTGCCCTGGCCATGGTTGTGCCCTCATCGAGGATTGCTCGAACTCCTTCTTGGAAGCCTTGGGGAGCGACCCTTCGAACTTGGCCGTGGCTTGCCACATATTAAAGTCATATCGGCCAAAGAGGGCTTGGTGGTTGCCACTCTCAGCTGAAGGCTGGAAGATGAATAAATCTTACGCCCAAAGAGATCCAACCTCCTCTAATCTTTATTTTGGGGGTGGCCCTGGGTTGTCCTTGACTCTCTTTGTGGTTAACCACCTCTACCACGAGGGAATTGGGGGCCGAATAGGAGTAGAAGTACTCATGTCTCTTGGTTGGCACAAAGTACTTGCATTCAGCCCTCTTAGAGATAGGGGCCAGGGAAGAGGTGGTTTGCCACAGGACATTAGTGATTTTGGATACCCCTTCATGAAGGGGTATGGCCACCCTGGCAGGAACCGAGGAGCAGAGGACATCAAACAGGGAGTCCGAGGGCTCTTCCAGTTCCTCTGCCTGAAGCCCCAGGATGGACGCGATCATTTTCAAAAGTTCGTGGTGCATTTTGGTGTCATCTTGAGAAACTGGGTGAGGGGGCCCCGTGCGATGAGGACAATGCCACAGGGACCTCTACTTCCATTGGTGGTCCAGTAGCTTGCTCCCCTGGGTCCTCCTGGACCTGGGGGTCTTACCCCCCAAAGCCTCGACCAACAGAGGGGGACGAGATACCGAGGCCGCTGGCCTCTCCGAGGCTCTCAATGCCAACCGGGCAGCCTGGGAGGGTTGGGTGATAACAAGGGTTCCACAGGTACAATGGCACTGGCCACTGCACCTGGAGCCATGGGACAGGTTTCAGTGCTGATGATGTAGGCAGCACTGCAGGTATTGGGGCTAGCCCCGCGGTCAGGGAACCTCGCTTAGTGCCGGAGGTATAAACGGAGCGGTTGGTACCGGGTGACCAGGATCAGGTGGAATGGTGGCTCTTGTCTGACCGGTGCCCATCACTGTGTCCCGAAGCCAACCTGTCCGAATGAGACAGGCATCTTGGTTGGGATCTCGGGGACCGATAGCATTTGGCGGATCTGCGTTGGAGACCTGGCAATTCACGCCTCACTCTTCTCGACCAGTACTGGGACGTCAAACGGGACCGGGAGCTAATAGGGGCTGGTTGCCGGGAGGATCTTCCTGGGTAAGGTGACCTATTGCTAGGAGATGGGCGATGATGACCTGGTGATCTGCAATCTCTGATCCTCGATCGGTCACCATGATTGGTACCGGGTCCTTGGAGACAGTCGGGGCCGGTCCAGGAGTTCTTGCCACGTAGCGCGTGCCTCAGAGGGACTGTGCCAATCTACCGGCGAGGTACGCCTTGAGTCCCTCCATCGGTGACCCCTGTGCGGAGACCAAAGAGGGCTCTGCTGAGCCTGCCTCTCTAGTCCTGAGGCATGACGGCTTCTGGTGGGTGCACAATGATGGGACGTCCCTCTCGATGGGGAACAGTGCCGCTGAAGTGGGGACACCCGCATAGGTCCCAGCATGGGTTTTCCCCGAGACCGGGGTACTGCTGGAGCCGGTGTGGGCAGCACCGGGAACATAAGGCTCTCCTGAGCTGCTTGAAGGGCTTCGGGTGTCAATGGCAGCTGAAGCTGGCTGGGGCCTGCACCGCTATCGGAGTCATAGGCGAGGGATGGGCTACACTGCTTGACTTGAGCTGGGGCCCGACTTCCTGAAGGGGGCATTGAGCTGCATGGCATGGGTCGTGGCTCACCCCCAGCCCTCTCCTTTCCCTTACAGGTAGGAGATCTTCCCCTCACAGTCTTTTTCAGCTTCTTGACTGGAGCCATGGAGGGGGATCAGTGCTGGCTCGTAGATGGTGCCAGCCGAGCGCTGCGCATGGAGTCCGCGGTGCTGGTTGTGGAGTCAGACCATTGCTCCAGTGCTGGAGTAAATGCCGACTCCATTAACAGCTTTTTCAGACAGATATCATGCTCCTTCTTCGTCCTAGGTTTAAAGGACTTACAGATCTGACACTTGTCACTTATGTGCCCTTCGCCTAAGCACCTTAGGCAGCTGGTATGTGGATCGCTGGTGGCCATAGGACCTTTGCAGTGGTCACAGGGCTTAAAGCCTGGGGACCAGAGCATGCCCCATCCCCTGGCTGACTGCCGTTGGGACTAACGATGAGTTTGAGTACTACTACTAAGGGTAACTAAGAAACTACTAACTATATTACAGGTTTTCGAAGTTCGCATGAAACAACGCTAGCTGAAGCAGCTGATGTTCCAACACCATCACTGGTGGCAAGAAGGAACTAAGGGTGAGGGTAACTGGCGGTGCCCCTTATACTGCACCATGTGGGCACCAGAGCCAGTGCCCTACGGATACTGCTGAGGGAAAAAACTTCCATCATCAGTGCATGTGGCAAGCACACATACTTAATATGGAATGGACCTGAGCAAGCACTTGAAGAAGAAAGAGTAGTTACTTACCTTAATGTAACTGTGGTTTTTTGTGATGCGTTGTTTGCACAAATTCCACCTTGAACATGCATGTGCCCCATGTGCACAATATCAGATTCTTTTAAAATATCAATATCCATTGGAGCTGCTCCTGAGTCCTGGGAGCTCTCAAAACCACCATAGCCAAGGATATAAGGGATGGGACGGCCTCAACCACTTTTCAGTTTCTTCACTGATAAGGAATCCCATGTGACGGTACTTTGAATTAGCAAGGACAGAGGGCAGGCTGTGGAATCTGTGTGGACAATACATCTTGAAGAACCTCACTCACTGACTGTAAAGGTAAGTAACCTTTCTTTTTTGAGTAACTGTCCACACAGATTTCACTGTTGGTGATAAGTAGGGCTGTCAATTAATCGCAGTTAACTCATGCAATTAACTCAAAAAATTAATTGCAATTAAAAAAATGAATCGTGATTAATCGCAGTTTTTATCACAGTGTTAAACAATAGAATGCCAATTGAAATTTATTAAATATTTGTGGATGTTCTTCTACATTTTCAAATATATTGTTTTCAATTACTACTAACACAGACCACAAAGTGTACAGCGCTCACTTTATGTTATCATTTTTGATGACAAATAGTTGCACTGTAAAAAGGATAAATAAAAGAAATAGTATTTTTCAGTTCAGCTCATACAAGTACTGTAGTGCAATCTCTATCATGAAAGTGCAACTTAGAAATGTAGATTTTTTTGCTACATAACTGCACTCAAAAACAAAACAATGTAAAACTTTAGAGCCTACAAGTCCACTCAGTGCTACTTGTTCAGCCAATCACTAAGACAAACAAGTTTGTTTACATTTACGGGAGATAATGCTGCCCATTTCTTATTTACAATATCACGTGACAGTGAGAACAGGTGTTCACATGACACTTTTGTAGCTGCTATTGCAAGCTATTTACATGCGAGATATGCTAAACATTCGTATGCCCCTTCATGCTTTGGCCACCATTCCAAAGGACATTCTTCTATGCTGATGATGCTTGTTAAAAAAATAATGAATTAATTCATTAAATAGTGACTGAACTCCTCGGGGGAGAACTGTATGCCTCCTGCTGTTTCACTCGCATTCTGCCATATATTTCTTGTTTTAGCAGTCTTGGATGATAACCAAGCAGATGTTGTTCGTTTTAAGAAGTCTTTCACAGCAGATTTGACAAAACACAAAGAAGGTACCAATGTGAGATTTCTAAAGATAGCTACAGCACTTGACCCAAGGTTTAAGAATCTGAAGTGCCTTCCAAAATCTGAGAGGGATGAGATGTGGAGCATGCTTTTCAGAAGTCTTAAAAGAGCAACACTCTGATGTGGAAACTATAGAACCCAAACCACCAAAAAAGAAAATTAACCTCCTGCTGGTAGCATCTGACACAGACGTTGAAAATGAACACCTTTTGTCCGCACTGCTTTGGATCATTATCGAGCAGAACCTGTCATCAGCATGGATGCATATCCTCTAGAATGGTGGTAAAAGCATGAAGGGACATATGAATCTTTACCGCATCTGGCTCCTAAATATCTTGCGACACCGGCTACAACAGTGCCATGTGAACACCTGTTCTCATTTTCAGGTGACATTGTAAACTAGAAGCGGGAAACATTATCTCCTGCAAATGTAAACAAACTTCTTTGTCTGAGCGATTGGCTGAACAAGACTGAGTGGGCTTGTAGGCTCTAAAGTTTTATATTGTTTTATTTTCGAATGCAGGTTTTTTTGGTACATAATTCTATATGTGTAAATTCAACTTTCATGATAAAGAGATTACACTACAGTACTTGTATTAGGTGAATTGAAAAATACTATTTCTTTTGATTTTTACATGCAAATATTTGTAATAAAAATAAACATAAAGTGAGCGCTGTACACTTTGTACTCTGTGTTGTCACTGAAATCAATATACAGTATTTGAAAATGTAGAAAGCATCCAAAATATTTAAATAAATGGTATTCTATTATTGTTTAATAGCACGATAAATCACGATTAATTTATTTAATCGCTTGACAGCCCTAGTGATAAGCAAGCAGTATCCTGTGCCCAGATTATGTAAAGGAGTCATATTTAAGTACTGATTGAAGAATCTCCTGACCAAAGCTTGCATCTGATCTAGAGGCTTGAATGATAAAAGTATCGACTGAACTCCATATAGCTCTTCTACATATCTCAGTCAATGGGTCCATTAAAAGAGGCAGTGTAGACCCAGTGGATTCGAATCAAATGAGACCAGATGTGTCTAGGGTAATATCATTCTTTAATAATACATACCAAGTATGTATATTGTTCAAAATCCATTTAGACAATCTCTGCAAGGATATCCGTTGTCCCCTCATCTGTCCTACAAAAGTACTAAGCAGTCTCAGTGAAGCTCTAATCAATCAATCAATCTAGTCCTGTCCAAATAAAAAGACTGCTCTAACTACATCCAGTGTGTAAAGGTTTGCTTCGGCAGGTAAAGAATGAGGTTTGGGGAAAAAGACTGGCAGATAAAGAGACTCATTAATGTGGAAGTCTAAGACTACCTTGGAAGGGATGTGGAAAATGGAACTTTCCAACACACTTATTTTGGTTGTGCCCACCAATCAAATGATCACAGGACTTCTGTGTGCCCCTTCTTGTCCATGCTGCACTGGGCAGATACACTGATTTCAACCACACTTCAAGTGGACAAAAGTGAAGTGTGGCAAAATCTTTAGAGAAGTTCTCACTTGCGTTATGAAATGCACCTGGAACTGCTATATGATGTCTGATCTCTGTTGCTGTTGGTATGTCTTTGCTAACCTGGAATCTAAACATTGCCCCTATGAGTTCAATGCATTGTGTTGGAGTTAGTGTGGATTTGTTTCTGTTAACCATTGAGTCCCAGAGGGCTGAAGAGAGCTAGAGTTTTTTGTATGGAGTAGATGACTTGTTGAGGGGACTGATTAATGTGGAAATCAGATGAAGCCTAAGAGTGACTAAGGTATATTTTCTGTGATACTCCCAGCACAATGTGAAAGTAGCTGTGAACAAGTCCATGGGATCCAAAGAGGGGATAACACAGGCTAAGGTGACCATCTTGAATTTGAAACACTGAGCAAAAAGACTGAGATGTTGAAGATTCAGGTGGGGTCTCCATGCCCCCTTCTTCTTTCGGATCAAGAAGTAGTGGGAGTAGAGCCCTTTTCCTTTGAATCCTTAAGGAACTTCCTCCACTATTCCCAGTGTTAAATTTATTGTCTTAGAAGTGTCTCGTGAGAGGGATCTCTGAGGAGGAGCGGGAAGAATGGGGAGGAGATTGTAACAGCTTGAAACTGGATGGGATACCCCTTGTTCATTATCTTGAGGACTGACTGGTCTGAAGTAATCCCAGCCCAAACTTCTCTAAAATAAAATAGGTGGTTGCCAACATGAATAGAAGGGAGTCGATACACAGGTGGTCCAGCTGGGCTCTCGACATTGCTTTCAGAGATGTTTTGTGACCAACTGTCCCTGTTGCAGGGGTGCCAAGGAAGAGCTCAAGGAATGTCATTGGTGAAAACACTGCCTCTTCCTTGGTGGCTATGAAATGCGTTGTTGAGGATAGCATTGCTGCTGTATTTATACAAGGACTGCTGACAACATTGTTGTTTACCTCTAAGAGCTGGATCACATAAGCCTCAGTGACTGGAGGGTTGTTCTCTGTATCTTTAAGAAAGTGCAATGCCTCATCAGTGTCACTACTGAACAGTTAATTACCTGGGAAGGGTAGATCCTGTATGGTCACTTAGACTTCATGAGGGGCAGCAGATGTCTATAGCCAGGACAACCTTCTCATTGTCACAGCCATAGCTGTGGTTCTGATGCATTGTTTCGAGCAATGTTCTAGCAGTGAGCTGTCCATCTGTCATGGTTGACCTTAACTCTTCCTAGTATTCACAGGGGAGCTTCTATGTTAAGGTAAAGAACCTGTCCCAAAAGCGGACATCATACTTAAAAAGAAGTGCTTGATAACTGGCAACTCCTAGTTGACGATTCGCTGAGAAGTATATTTTTTTGTCTGAAAAGATCGAATTTCTTTGTCTTTTTCTGGGAATGGATTTGGGCTGTTTAGATTTCTCATGAACAGCCTGGACAATCAGGGTACTGAGGCTGGGATTCTAAAAAGTATTTGTGCCCATTAGCTAGCACAAACATCTCTTGTTTGTGCACTTGGAAGTTGTGGGGGGAATGGATGCAGGAGTGTCCCAGATGACCTTTGTTGGTTCCAAAAGCCCTAAATTAATAGGTGAAGTCATTTTGCTTAAAGATGATGGGTGGAGAAGGGCTAATATCTTATGTTGCTTTTCTTGGATTATCTCTAATAGGATATCCAATATTTCTGCTAGTCTCATCATTTCCTGAAAAACTTTTAACCACCCTGAAGAGGATGTAGGAGGAGGGTTGGTCGTTTCATCAGCAGGCGAGGAGGAAATAGCTAGAGACTGTGAGTGGTCAGAGGAGAGATCATCTCCACTGAGGTCTTCCTCTCCTTTCAGAAACTGATGATGTCTGGGAGTGGGTACTAGGACTGGCTCAATCTGCTGTGTAGGCAAGAGGTGATCTTGGTCTGAAGACCACTGAGGAAGCTGGTTTCCCAACATAAGGGTTGATACTGCATGGAGACCAATGAAGCCAGTGTTCGTAGGAGTGTTGAGGGGGAGGATGACACATGGGATGGGAGAGTACCAGTTTAGAAGTTCCCTTATCAATTCAGAACTTGTGGGTGCCTCTTAGGGGCGCCATCATTATGTATGCATCACGGGTTTTCTTGGTGCTGCTGCCATTGGTATGGACCTATCCAGCGCCAGAGAGGAGTCTGCCGTCTGAGTGGTATCAGAAGCGGCAAAGTGCTTACTGTGTGAAGTGATTGTCAATGCCAACATTGGCTTTGATGTACCTGTGTGAGGCTCAGCCTCAAGGGACTGGAGTGTCAGAGCCTCAGGTGAGGACTTAAGTCTTCTGACTGGGAAGAAAGATTTGTATGTTCCTTGGTCCGAGGAGCAGTGCTCCTTATGGTCCCTTCTCCTGGGTCAATGCCAGAGGAGTAAGAAGAAATTGAGAGGTGGTTGAGGCTGCCCAGCCCATTTTAAACTCAGCTATGGTGGTTGCAAGGGCTCCCAGGCTACAGGCATGGCCCCAATAGACACTGCTATTGAAAAACAATCCAACCTTACATACATGCACACTCAAGGTAGAATTTGTGTTGACAGTAACTTGAAGAGCAATTAGTTTTACCTTTTAATTATTATTTACCATTCATATTTCAGCAGAGGAGGAAACCAGGCAATAATATAGTACATATATGGTATCATTTATCTTGCCATATTATGCTACTCTTCAACCTGAGACAGCCCAAAGAGACTAAGCTAAGGAGCTATTAAAAAGTAAATATTTACTGTGCATGGCATAAATTCCTCACCACAGGATGTATACTAAATACAGACAACCCCATTGTACAGCATTCTTTTTTAACGGGGCCCAAGTGGCCAATATTCATGTGCCAAGTCACTTGCCAAAGAGTGGAGCCCTATGACACATGTATATAGCATAAACATTAGGAAGGTAACAGAGGAAGGCAAAAGTACCGTTAACTAATACTTGTTCTTCAGAATTTTTGTACCCCTCTTTTAAATTAAAGCTAGCAAGAATTACAACATCATGAGCTTTTTATCTTTACCCTTTCATAATACAAATGATCTTTCTATGCAAATAAATAATATGCACCTGTGTTAGGAGTTTCCTGCAACCTAAGACAAAAATTCTTAAGATTTTTTTCTTCTTCTTGTTAGATGTTAATTGCCAGATATTCTGTCTTGTGTGCATGCTTATTTGCACACAGGCCCATACTACCCACTGTATGTAAGTACTATAGTCTCTTTTCCCTCTAAAATTATATATATATTTATTTTCATGATTAATTATTGTGGTTTTTACACTATTAGGTTACAAGCATTGGGATATATATTTTGCATTTAAAATGAACGCTCATTAATAAGACTAAGACAGACTATGCTTTAACCTAAATTATATAAAAATAATTTAGAATGATATCTGTAATTACTCACCTTAGCAAGATAAGCTTCCACTCTGTTTTTTGAAGATAATGCATTTCCAGTTGGGTTTATGAAACTTCCTCCAAGACCAAGACTTCTATTTAGTGTTAAATTATTGCCGAGATTGCCAAGTTGAGTTGTATCCAGGACTGGACTTGCAGAAAGACCTCCATTTACAATGCTGTTAGCAATTAAAGATTTGCTCCTATGGCGCTCATGAAGGAGTTTTGCATTGGCCTCTGCTATCCTTTCATTAGCTCTGTGAAAAATACAGATGTAGTTTTTACTCACACTTTCACAACTAAACGTTATCATCCAAATTTCAAGCTATTTTTATTATATTTCTATAACTGTAAATGATTAAGAATATTAGAAATGAGGAATTACTCAATTCCCTCTATCAGAGAGGTAGCCATGTTAGTCTGTATCCACAAAAATAACGAGGAGTCTGGTGGCACCTTAAAGACTAACGGATTTATTTGGGCACAAGCTTTAGTGGGTAAAAAACCCACTTCTTCAGATGCATGGAGTCCCACAAAAGCTTATGCCCAAATCAATCTGTTAGTCTTTCAGGTGCCACTGGACTCCTCGTTTTTGTCAATTCCCTCTGGAGTTTTCTGAGAACCCAATCCTGAAAGATTCTGAGTGCCTCTTGGGAACGAATGGGAGTTAGAGATGCTCAGCAGTTCTCAGAATTTGACCTCAAGACAATTTATCTTAGATAGTTATAAGTCCCGATTACTATAATCTTTAATGTATTTATATTATCTCATAATACCCTGTGAGAACAGAAAGTAATATTATCTCCATATTACATAAGGGGGAAACTGAGGCCCAGAGAGAGTAAGCAACTTGCCCAAGATCACAGAGGAAATCTTTGGCAGAGCTGGGAACTAAACCCAGGTCTCCCAAATCCTAGACTAGTACCCTAATAACTGGACTGTCCTTCCTCTCAATGTAGTTCCAATCCTGAGAAGTACTGTTATAATGGGAGCTGAACTGACCCTAAACACACCACCAGATCAGGCTCTTTTTCTAGAGAGCCCTATTCTTATTCAAGCATGGATTGAGGCTGATAGGGTAAGGAAAAAAGAGACTACTCATCCTGGGCAGTAACTGCAGTTCTTTGAGATGTGTCCTCCTATGGGTGCTCCACTTCAGATGTGCATGCGCCCCACACATATTTAATCTGAGATTTTCATGAGCAGTCTGCATTTGGCGCATGCATGTGCTGCTGATATCCTCATGCCCTGCAGCAAGGCTATATTAGGCTGCATGAGCAAACTGCCCTCAGTTCCTTCTTCACCGCTGCATCTCAGAAGAAAACTCTGAAGCAAAGGGGAAGGAGGGCGGGTAGTGTAGCACCCAAAGAGGAACACATTTAGAAGAATTACAGCTAATGCACAGGGTGAGTAACCTCTCTTTCTTCTTTGAATAATGTCCCTATGGGTGCTTCACTTCAGGTAACTCCCGAGCAGTATCCCCATAAGGAGGAGGAAGCCCCAGAGTCAAGTCCAGCACAGAAGAAAGAACTGCATTGCCAACTGCTACATCAACTCTAGAGGCACTGACTAAGGCGTAGTGCCTGGAGAAGGTATGTACCAAAGACCATGTAGCAGCTCTGCAGTTCTCAGATACTGGGGAATTTTTAGGTTGAGCTATAGATATAGATTGTGACTTCATTGAGAACCTTTAGATCTGTCTACAAACAAAATGAGCAGTCTAGGAGATTTACAAAATGATTTAATCCTATCTAGGTAGAAGGATAACACCTTCTTGACATCTTCAGCATGGAACACAGTCTCCAGATTGGAATTATGTGGTTTTGGAAAGAACACTGGCAGGTAAATGACTTGACTCACATGAAACTCAGAAGACACTTTAGGAAGAAACCTGGTGTGTGGTCGTAAAGTAACTTTGTCCTTGCAGAATACTGTGAAAGGAGGGTGTCATAAACATAAAGGGAAGGGTAACCACCTTTCTGTATACAGTGCTATAAAATCCCTCCTGGCCAGAGGCAAAGTCCTTTTACCTGTAAAGGGTTAAGAAGGGCAGGTAACCTGGCTGGCACCTGACCCAAAATGACCAATGAGGGGACAAGATACTTTCAAATCTGGAGGGGGGAAAAGGCTTTTGTCTGTCTGTGTGATACCTTTGCCGGGAAAAGATCGAGGATGCAAGCCCTCCAACTCCTGTAAAGCTAGTAAGTATTCTAGCTAGAAAATGAGTTAGGTTTTCTTTGTTTTGGCTTGTGAAATTCGCTGTGCTGGAGGAAATGTGAGTTCCTGTTTTGTGTCTTTTTGTAACTTACGGTTTTGCCTAGAGGGATTCTCATTTGTTTTGAATCTGACTGCCTGCAAGATTATCTTCCATTCTGATCTTACAGAGTTGCTCTCTTATCTTTTTTTGTTCTTCTAATAAAGTTCTGTTTTTTAAGAATCTGATTGGGTTTTTTGAGTCTTAAAAATCCAAGGCTGGTTTGTGCTCGTCTTGTTTATTCTCAAGCCTCCCCAGGAAAGGGGGTGTAAGGGCGTGGGGGATATTTTGGGGAAACAGGAACTCCAAGTGGTGGTCCTTTCCCTGACTGTTTGATAAATCACTTGATGGTGGCAGCATTCTCCCTAATCCAAGAGCAAAAACTTTGTGCCTTGGGGAAGTTTTAACCTAAGCTGGTAGAAATAAGCGTAGGGGGTCTTTCATGCGGGTCCCCACATCTGTACCCTAGAGTTCAGAGTGGGGAGGGAACTCTGACAGAGGGTCTACCATGAAGGCCCCATCTCCCCGACTCTATGCGCTGAGGTAATAGCCACTAAGAAGGCTGTTTTCATAGACAAATTCAGTAAGGAGCGTGTCACCATCGGTTCAAAAGGAGATTTCATGAGTCTTTTAAGAGACAAATTAAGGTCCCAAACTGGGATGGGGATTACCCAGACCTTTCATGAATGTTATGGTTGTAGAGTGAGCAAACAGTGAGAACCTGCAATAATGGTATGAAAAGCTGTTTAAGGCACCCAATTGAATCTTGAGAGAACTAAGTAATAGACCCCTTTGCTTTAGTTGTAGCAGGTATACCAGAACAAGAGGAAGCAAAGCAGATTTGGGGACAGGATTCTGGAATTCAAACCAGTGACTAAATCTTCTCCACTTTTTGAAGGTATTTCTGGTAGAATCTTTCCTATTTTATCTATTGTACTTCTGCAAAGCAGACCAACTCTAACCCCACGAACCATCAAGTAGCCACGCCTTCAGGCGGAGAATGCTCAGATTACGATGCAGCAGTTGACTGGCACCCTGGGAGAGGAATGATTAGAAGATTTATCACTGGACAAAGAGCTAGGCAAAACAGGTAGGAAATCAGGCCTGCCTTGATTGTGTTGGGGCTATTAGGATAACTCTGCTCTTATCCTGTCTGATTTTGTTCACCACTTTGAGAATCAGATGTGTTGGGGGAAACGCATAAAACAGTTTCTTCGTTCAAGTGAGGGGGAAGGTGTCCCCTAATAATTTATGAACTAAGCCCCTCCTTGAATAGAATAGATAGCATTTTTTGTTTATAGCTGTGGCAAAGAGGACCACTTCTGGAAATCCCGGAGTCTGAAATATGCCGACAAGAACCTGGGAATCCAACCCCGATTTGTAGTCTTGAGAAAAACACTTGCTGAGAGTGTCAGCTGTGACATTCATTATTGAAATTCTTATGCAATGTTTTATATAGCAGTTCCATAACCTTATTGCTTCAGCGCAGAGGGAAGGGGATCTCACTCCTTCTTGCCGACTGCAGGCATATATAACATGCAGGCCACATTGCCTATCATAACTTGGATATACCTGTGTCCGATGAGAGGGAGAAAATGAACGCAGGCATTTCTGACCGCTCTGAGCTCCAACAGGTTGATGGGGGGGTGGATTCTTAGGGTGACCATCTGCACTGTAACATTAGAGCACTGAGGTGTGCCCTCCTCCAGCCTAACAGAGATGCAACTGGGGTTATGGTTACCATTGGCATTGGTTGAAGGAAGGGAATCCATACCCCTACATTGTGATGAACATTCCACCAATCTAGGGAGTACCTGACTTGTTGAGAAACTGACACCTGTTTGTCTAGGCTGTATCTGTTTGGTAAGTAAACTGGTCTGAGCCACCACTGGAAACAGCAAAGGCACAATCTTGCATGTTCTGTCACAAAAGTGCAAGCTACCATGTGACCTAGAAGTTGAAGACTGTTTCTAACAGAAGTCTGGGTTTCCTTTGAATATGTCTGACAAGGTTTGATAGTGTTGTGGATCTGTCCAAGGGAAGGAAGGCCCTGGATGCCAAGGAATACAGGGATACCCCTATAAATTTTATGTTCTGAACAGGAGTCAGTGTGGATTGTCCCACTTTCAATTGAAAACCCAAGTCCAAGAACAAAAAGTGCTTTCTGTTTGGCAGACAACATGTCTTGGTATGACTGAACCTTGAGCAATCAATCGTCAAGGTATGGGAATATTGTAATTGCCTGATGACACAGGTAGGCAGCCACCACTGACAGAACCTTTGACAACAATCTTGGAACCTATCAGGGCTCTGGAGAACTGCTGCCAAAAGGTGCCCAGGAATCCTAATATGGCCATTGAAGACCATAAGGGGGAGGTGGGTGGTATCCAGGGTTGCTCTCATCAGGAGTCATGAGGTCCCCGGACATCATCTGTCTCTTTGAGAAAGGGAGTTTATATATGGATATGTAGGAGAGACCTAAACAGAGATCCATGATACTGAAGATAGGTCTCCATCATCATTATCTTCCTCCTCTAATGGAGGAGCTCTGACCAAAAAGGGAAGTGACTGTACTGGGGATATATAAGGGTCTGGAGATTGAGAGGTTCTCGGTACCTAGAGATGCTTGGTACTTGCCAGCAGTGGAGACTCTGGTTCAGCAGTCACTGATAAGTCCTTTGGATACCTAATATCTTGCAGTACTGAGTGGAGCTGCAGCACTGAGTGCTGTTGCAGCGCCGACAGACTGGAATGCTTGTCCCTGCAGAATGGTGATGATGGTTTTGAGTGATTCACAGGCAGCGCTGATGTAGATGGAGGCTTAGTTTTACATGATATTGAAAAGCTTGACATAGGTACCAGGAGAGGGGTTAGGTCTGATGGTACCTATATTCTTCTGTGTTTTCTCTGATCATCTCCACTAGGTGGTATTGGAGCCTTCTCAGAGCCAGGTTTACTCTTCAAGCTGCTGGATTTTCCTGACTCACTGGTACTGGAGGAGCCCTTCACTTTTATGGTACCAAGCCTTGAGGATGAAGTCTTTGAGGCTACTGGCCTGGTCTAAGAGCGAGGATTTTTGAGATGGATCTCTTCAGAGGGGAATTAGAGCTTCTCTTTTTAGCATCTTTAGAGGAGGTCTCTGAGGCTTTCCCCTTTGCAGGAGAGTGTTGCACCAAAGTCAAAGGGGCACTAGAGGGACTGATGTACGGGGTGCGGGGGTTCTCCTGACTTGGCTCCGAAGTGGGAAGAAGGGAGCACTCCTTCATTAACAGTCACAGCTTGAGTTCCCGGTTCTTCTGTGCCCTGGATTTGAGGGCTAACCGGAAGTTACACTTCTGTGGACCATGCAACTCTCCCCGGCAGTGAACCCACTTAGACTATCCATTGCTGATCAGGATAGCTTCTCTCCATGTGAGGCAACATTTGAACCCCGGTGAACCGGGCAGGCCCCTCAAAGAAAGGATTTTCCCAGAAGCAATAAAATAATCTTTCAATAACCAGTTACTAACTACTGTACTACTACTACAAATTAACTAAACTAAATAAACTCAGTAGAATGAACTCAGCAAGAACCCGAGGCAGGCACAATGTAGACATGCTAAGTTCCATCTCAGGCTGAGGCAGTTGCCTGTGCAGCCTCATATAGCCTCAGTGCAGAGCACGAGGATATCAGCAGTGCATGCACTGGCCAAATGGACATTGCTGATGAAAATCTTTGATCAAAGACATGTGGAATGTAAGTGCACCTGAAGTGAAGCACCCACAGAACACTACTCAAAGAACTGCAATTTCTCTTGCCTACTGTAAGTACAGATTATTACAGACCAGCCAGAAGACATGCCTGTTAAAAATCAAAATAACTTTATAATATACTCTATAAAAACGAATGATATTTCTGCTACTTATAAAATATTGACAGGAATTCATGTTTCTCAGCCTTCCAGTTATTTGTGAAAGTCTACTGCATCCACAGATAACTGCTCTTGGATTGATGCATATTATGGTGAGCAGGTCCAGGAGTGAGGCATTTTAAGACGAAAGTTAATGAAGGGAAAAATACTATTTTACTGTTTGTTTTAAAATAAAGATTTTGACTTACCTATCCAGTTTACTTGCTAGCGATTTTCTAATTTTTAACTCTTCCAAATAAAGTTCTTTGTATCTTTCCAGTTCTGTCTGCGTAGACTGTTTTTGAAAGACACTGTCTTCTTGTGTGTTTTTTATTCTAGCCAGTTCAGATTCTAGATCTCTAATTCTGTGCTCCAACTGGTTTCTCAGTGAAGTATTATTAGTAGTTCTTATTTGTTCTAATGTCTCTTGGGAGGCTGCCTGCGTCTAAAGCAAATAATACAACTTTAATAAATTGGAAGAAAGAGGATTTTTTTCCCAACAGTTACTCATATTCAATATAAGTACACTCTTATTCTGATAGGGAACTACTCTTCCTTAGCGCCATCAACGATACAGGGAGACATGTGAAGTCACTACGCAATAGAAAGATTTCAGCTTAGAAAGAAACTGTCCCTTATTAAGGATCTATTACATTAAAGTTAGCACTACACAACTTTCAGCCTCATCGGACAATAGTCTAATTGAAACTGATCCCCTTGCTGGAGCCAGAATCCCATGTGATCTATACACACGTAAATAATACTTCCAGCACTGAAATAATAAATGTGGAGTCAAAAAGAGGAGGTTATTTTGTAACTTTTGTTCTCTCAACATACTGTGTTCAGAACCACACTGTAGCAGTTAACATGCCTGGTCACTGACCATGGAACCATCAGTAAAAACTCGAGGGGGTGAGGGGAAGGGAAGGGGTGGTGTAGGTGAAGTGATAGACACACATCTTTTGAGCCCAAATAGTCTACTGGCCGAGGATATAAATAATCCATCCCCTTAGTCTTCCCTCAGTTCATGTTTATCTACAGAAGCTCATGAACTGAATTCCAAAGAAGAGGGGAGGAGGGAAAATCAGTGTAGCTCTGAAAAGAAATACAAAGAACAAAAGCTACTTTGGTCAGTGTGATAGGATACAATCCCTCTAAGAGTAAGCAAGTTGAGCATCCCCTCCAGGGTAAAAAATGAGTCATGAGGGAAAATCAGTCTGGGGCAGTCTTTGGGATAGAATGACCTGCAGGTGCTACTGTAAGGGATTGTACTCAATTTTACTTTTCTTTGTATTTTTTTTCTTCCTTCTACTGTATCTCTAGTTCCCTAACTACCAAACTGGAAACATATGGAAATACTATACATTTAGCTTTTATGAAGAAAACAAAGTACCTAAAATATAAATTTCAACATGGAAATGAATATGGAATATAAAGCTTAAAGTACCAATTTACAGCATACAGTAAGTAGCAAATAAATTAACCTGCAAAAATAGATTGACTTCTTCTAGTTTTTGTCTTATTTCTTGTCTAGCTCGTTCTTCAATCTCTCTTTTATACTGTTCTAGTTGACTGTGGTCCATCATATTAGTCTCTACTTGATGTTTGAGAGTAGCTACTTCTCCTTCCAGCTGCCATTTGCTCTTCTCCAGCTTTTCATGATTCTTATGCAGTATCTTCATAGAAGACAACTGTTCTCGTAGATCACGATTTGTAGATTCTAACTGCGTAGATTTTTTTGACTCTATATCCAGCTTTTTGGAAAGTTCATCTATCTGTACACATTGAAAAAGTTTAAACTCAGTTATCAAACAGGGAGTTCAAAATTTCTCTAAATTCAATGAAAGTCAGTGAAAAAAATCACAATAATTTTACAAGTTCATAATTTTGCATTTAAAATTATAAATCATTCTAAACTTACTAAAAGCAGATCTTTTAAATTATTTTTCATAGAACAGCTTAAGTTCTCTTCTTTATCAGCCTATATACAGTAGTTTCCAGAAATACTTTAAAAAATAAAATCATTTAGGCCCCAAACCTACAAGCATTTTACCCATGTATTTGGCTTTAAATGCGTAAGTAGTCCCAATGAAGTCACGGGACTATTCATATGCTCTAAAGTAAACAGGAGCATAAGAGAGGGGGCTTTGTTATGTATCAAAAATGCTATGCAACCCTTTAAAACTTGCAAAATTGGATTGTAGGAAACCTTTTATGTTAGCAGAGAAATAAAATATATTTGTGGTAAATCAAAAGGTAGTTTGCTTATAAGAATTTAAAAGACAATGTGAGATCTTTCAGTAGGATCTGAAACCTGAATAAAATTCACTGGAAAAAAAACTGTTAATCGTTTCTGTCATTACTGCATATTTTATGGTTTCCTTGTCCTTTTTAACATAAAAAAGGAAAATAGGAAAATAAATAAAATAAATACTGTGTAAAAATATGTAGACAGTATCAAACAGACCTTCTTATTCCAACTGTACTGATATGTATAAACATAACTGCAAGGAAGGGAATATATACAAATCCTCTTCCTTGATGTTCAAATATAATTTTTACATTTTAACTGCAACAAAGTCATACAAATACTATTAATTTTATTTATAAAAATGCTCTGATGTGAAGGCACTCAAAGCACTAAACACATAATTAAAAAAGTTACTTAATTTCTAAAATATAGTGCACTAGCAACAAAGTTACACTCATAAAATGATGGGAACAGACTGCAGTAAGTTAGGCCCTACCTAGGAATGGTGGAAATGTTTCTAAATATAAGCCAGATAAGGATAATAAAAGCTACTTCTAGGACACATTTTCAGGTTTTTAACAATAGGGTAGGATGGGCTGAGACAGCTGACAAGGGGAAAAAAGTTCCACTCCCTACAGACCTACCTCATTGCCTGCTTACCTAAAATATGATGGTGGAATCCCTAAAAGGCAGGTGACATCAGAGCCTTAACATATAATAAGACTCAAGAAGATGGTCTGGAACAAAACCAAGTATATTCAATGGCAAAAACCTACGTTAATGCAGATTTAAGGTTGCTTGGGGTGTGTGGTCCCCATGCAGAACGTTGAGTTGAGCAAATCTCAAAACTTCTGAAAACCAGGAAATGCAGTTAAGGTTGTCCATGCAACCTTAACTCTGCTTTCTTTCAGCAATGCCCCAATACACCCTGTTAACACACATACCTTTACTCTGCCACTCCCCAGGTGCTGAAATGTACAACTCTTCACCTCCTTTTACAAGATATTCACTCTCACCCACAGAATTCCATCCAATACTATGGGTGGGGAGGAAGGTTGCCCACATCACCTCTGCTCTGTTCCCCTGGAGATGGCAGCAACCAATGGGAACTATTTGCATGCAGACAGTGTTAGGCATATCTACACTAAATGGTGGAAGGCATAGGGCATTTTTTACAAAGACCATTGTCAGTGGTGAGGGGCAATATGAGAGGATTCTAATGCTTTAATTATGTTTAAGTGAAAGTGATGGCTGAGATGATATCGTGTTGTGACAGATTTCTGTTACCAATCTGTCTGAGGCATCAGGTGATCAGGCTGAGGCCACAGGATTGTCTGGGGAGGAGATTACAGAACACACCAAGTAACTGAGTTTTTAAAGCTTTATTGATAAAATAATAAAATAACAGCAGAGAGTGCTGGGGGTGGGGTGGGGGGGTTCCCCACATCACTTGGAGAAAGGAAGAAAGCATTAGTGCCCCAAGCCCTAACCCACTTTCATACTCACACCCGCACTACCCGAGGCTGGCTAAGCCTGGGTGTAACATAAGAAGAAGAGGGGGAGGGGTGGATGGCAGTTCTTGTCCCGTGCACGGGTTGTCCAGGGTCCGCTGTTGATCTCCGATTTGCCTCAGCTCCCGGGCAGGTTTTTAAGTCCTGGGGTCTCTTGGGGGCGTCTCCTTCAGAGACCTTTGTTCCCCATGCTCTGTGTACCAGTCTAAACCGGCCTTCCGTGGTTTCTTCAGCTTTCCCAAAACACACCGGTTTCAGGGCCTTGAGACAGTTATGTTTTTTCCTTGTTGGCCTTTGCTGTCTTGGTCTTTTTTGCAGCCCCTGCATTTCGTTCAACAACTCTTCTTTCTTACGGCTGGTCGGGGAAGTGGGGGGTGGACTTCCCCCCCCTTCTGTCTTGGCAGGTAGCAGAGTGAGTGTGGGTAGTGGCCTTGGGCTGGTGTCAGCTCCTTATTTTCGGGTTTAGCTGGAACATCAAGTTAACCCGTTTCCCACCCCCCCGCCTTCTGTCTTTTCGCCGCCTGTAAAGAAACCTTTTGTTCCGCATTTATACCTTTAACCCTTCCCAACATTCTTTCCAATACATACAAAAATATTCGCAACATATGAGGCTGGTATTTACACAGGGGACCCCCGGGGGAAGGGGGCGAGGGGGCAGCCATCTTGTGACAGTGTGAGTAAGTGCAAGGGAGTTGTAAAAGGCTGTGAAATAGGCTATGTCTACACTATGGATCTTACAGCTGTACTGGTGCAGCTGCGCTGCTGTAAGGTCTCCTGTGTAGCGGCTCTTTGCTGATGGGTGAGAGCTCTCCCGCCGGCATAATTAAACCACCCCCAACGAGCCATAGTACCTGTCAGCAGAAGAGAGACATACCACAGTCCACACTGGGGCTTTTGTCGGTGAAACTTATGTCAGTCTGGGTTGTGTTTTTTTTCACACCCCTGACTGACAAAAGGGCTAGTGAGGACAAAACCATAGTTCTTATATTGCACAGTGGTATTCTTTATGGGGAGTTGGCTAAGTGTGTGAGCATATGCCAGGATCCGGGACCTCTTCAATCTTATTGTGCCAAGGGCCAGAGTGAGTATACGCATATTGAAGCATTGCTCAAAGAGTGTAGAGGGAAGGTGGCGTGGGCAACCTTTTTTTTCCTCTCCTTTTTGTTTTTCAGTAGTGTTCGATGAAAATCATGCGGGTGAGAGTGAAGGGGTTGTAAAAGAAGCGAACAGCTTGTACATTTCAGCAACTACTGGGTTGGAAGAGTAAAGGTATGTGTGTTTATGGGACATATTGGGCATTGCTGAATGAGGGAACAGAAATATTGCATTGGCTTAACTGTGCATTTCCTGGTTTTCAGAAGTTTGAGTTTTGCTCAACTCAACATTCTGCAAGGGGACAACATATCACCAAGCAAAGCTTAACTCCATTAACAGTTTTTTGCCAATTGATTTCCCAGGTTTTTTAATAGGAAAAGATACATTGTTGATAGGAGTTAATAGTCATGTAGACAGTTGTTCATATCCCGTCCTGCAGTTTGCATACTCAGTCAAATCAGCAATCCCTATACTGTGGTGTACTCCATACTGTGTCACAAACTTCCCCAACCTTGTGGATGAGGAATCACCCAGAATCGACATATTGGCACCCTGGCAGAACACATATTGCTCTTCCCTTAGCAGTCAAGTCACCTGTGCTGTCAGTCCTGTACTTCTGCTCTATGTGTTTTAGGAAACACCACATTAATCTACTCCAAGATCAGGAAATAGCCCTTTGCCCTAACTTCCCCAGAGGCTAGTAAAATGAAAAAAAATCTGTAAACAACCAATGCAAGGCTCGCCTACGGTGGCGTAGCCAGGTGGAAAAAACAGGGGGAGCGGAGATAAAAAAAAGGCGCCAACCCCTGGTACTGACCTGGCAGTGCTCCAGGTCTTCAGCAGCATTTCAGAGTCGGGTCTTTCACTCACTCCAGTCTTCGGCACTGGAGGACCCCCCCCACCCTCTAGCCACTGCAATGCCGCCGAAGACCGGAGCGAGTGAAGGACCTGACGCCGAAGTGCTGCTGAAGACCCGGAGCACCGCCGGGTCAATACCAGGGGGTGGCACCTTTTTTTAATCTCCGCTCCCCCTGACCCGCCACTGAAGACCCAGAGCGCCGCCAGGTGAGTAAAAATTTTAAAGGCACCAAGTAATTAAAAAGGCGCCACTTCTGTTCGGTGGAGGAGCAGCTGCTGCCCCGCTCCCCCACTAGCTACGCTACTGCCCACCCCTTCTGCAACTGCAACCCCTCTCCTTGTCTGTCCTTCTTGCCAACCCACAAGTCCTCTGTCATCAGCTCCTCCCAACCCAAAATAAACATTTTGCTTAAATCAGCTACTGACTATTCTGCTGTTGTCATAAATATAAAGGGAAGGGGTTAAGAAGCTCTGATACAGTACTATAAAATCCTCTTACTTGTAAGGGGTTAAGAAACTCCAGTAACCTGGCTGGCACCTGACCAAAAGAACCAATAAGGGGACAAGTTACTTTCAAATCTGAGGCGGGGGAAAAGGCTTTGTCTGTCTGTCTGTGTGTTGCCTCTGCTGGGGACAGATCAAGAAAGCAAGCAATCCAACTCCTATAGAGTTAGTATGTAATCTAGCTAGAAAATGTGTTAGATTTTCTTTTGTTTTTGGCTTGTGAAATTTGCTGTGCTAGAGGAAATGTGTATTCCTGTTTTTTTTTCTTCTTTCTGTAACTTAAGGTTTTGCCTCGAGGAATTCTCTGTGTTTTGAATCTGACTGCTTGTGAGATTATCTTCCATTCTAATCTTACAGAGTTGTTCTTTTATCTTTGTTTTGTTATTCTAAGAAAGTTATGTTTTTTAAGAATCTGATCGGGTTTTTAGGATCCTAAAAACCCAAGGCTGGTCTGTGCTCATCTTGTTTATTCTCAAGCCTCCCCAGGAAAGGGGGTGTAAGGCTTGGGAGGATATTGGTCCTTTCCCTAATTCTTTGTTAAATCACTTGGTGGTGGCAGCGTACCCTCCAAGCACAAAGAGTTTGTGCCTTGGGGAAGTTTTACCCGAAGCTGGTAGAAATAAGCTTAGGGGGTCTTTCATGTGGGTCCCCACATCTGTACCCTAGAGTTCAGAGTGGGGAGGGAACCTTGACAGCTGTGTTCACAATAAACCTCCCCATAAAATACGAGCACACGATATTATAACAGACAACTTGCAGCAAGCAGCGTGAGTTATTAGATCTTTATTGCACAGGTGTACAAAGATTAGAACTAGAAACATCAGTGGAGGGCTGTTCACTGGTGTAATGATATTGGCACATTCCCTCAAACTACCCAGGTAAGCATAAAGTGCTTGCATTGAAACCCTTTCACGGTTTCTTCTTTACTGGGGCCTGTACATTGTAATCCTTCCAGACTGCACAAGTACGCAATTGAAGAAAAACAAACACTTTCTTAAATTCCCCAAAGATCTAGTGGATGCCGTCCATTACCGTGGGTAATAACGATCAATTAAGAACATTTTGAACTGCATCCCAGCAACAGTTTTATCTCTGGCTCTGCGCAAAAAAGCCTACCTAGTAATTTTTTGAAAAACTGCTATCTTTTTCAGAACTTATATCTCTGGAACTACTGTCTCAAATGATCCCGAATGTGGTCACTAGCCCTACAACGTATTCCTGCAAAGCAATGCGAATTTCAAGAAAATCAGTGCAAGCATGCAAATTTTAGAGCACTGTGAAGCGCAGTTCATTAAGCAGGAAGGATAGAGGGACGATGGAGGGAAAAGGCTTCTCTACGCATCCTCCTTCAGCACAGGAGTCTCTGAAAGGTCTGAAGTGGCCCTCTCATTTCAATGTGTTCTTTTGAGCAGAATGAGAACATCTGATGACTACAACCTGAAACAATACTCTGAGATGTGTGAACTAGTCCATTTATCTTAGTGGGTGTTCCCATCCTTCTCCTGCGTGCTTTTTAGAGCCTGTGAGATGCATCAGGATCTCATGAGGCTCTTTGGGTGGGGAGCTGAGAATGGTTATTTCTTTACAATCTTTAACCAGAATAAAAACAACAAAAATCCCACTCAAAATGTAGCCACCACATTTATAGCAATTCTGAGAGGAATATATGAAGAATGAATTATGTGAGTTTCAAATATTAGAACCTACCTTTGTCCTTAATCTACTAACTTCATTGTCCATTTCAGAATATCTGTTCTTCAGTTCTCCCTGGAAACTAAACTGGGACACACTCTCTCCATTCTCATATTCCTTTAGTTTCTTCTTAGCTGTTTTTAGAAGTTTCTTCATTCTGCATAGTAAGTACAGTAGAAAGACAAACAGACTTGTTTATGTATTTTTAGAAACCATAGCCAAGCCCCTCAAACCCATTTTAAGTATATTTGATAGACAAATCTGAGGAATCATCCTGTCAGTCTCAGAAATCATTTTTAGGGCAAACTTCTGGCTGCCCCATGAGGATGTAGGTGTAGGTCCTTTTTTCTCCTTCCCTGCCTGAAGAGTTGCATGGCAGCCTGGCTTAACATACCTGCTCACTGCACTTTGCAACAGGTGCTCAATTACAAAAGTGAACAACATTAAAAGTTCAGCATTATACAAGCAATTTGTGAGGTCAGTTGTGCAATCATTTTTCAGTTAAAGTTTAATTTTGTAAACAGAACAAAGTCACGTTTTAGTTTATTTGATATTTTCTTGAAAGTGCTGAGAAAACTGTACCCATTACATTCTTTTTGTAATTCACTGTTTCTCTTCATTTCTTGATCCAGCCGGGCTTCCACTGATCGTTTTAACTCTACTAGCTTCTTCACTTTTTTCCTTTCACTCTCGAACTTTCAAAATGAAAAAACAAACAAACAAACATATACACATTACTACATATAGTATTAATGGAAGTTTTCACTTGCTATATATGATACATACAGGAAGCAGACCTTCACATTCTTTACAGAGAAGCTGGAATACATCTTTGTTTTAAAATGTTGATCTTTTAACATAAAACTCTATTAAACATACATTCGTGGCCAATTAAGAAGCAGATACAACTGATGCTAAGTCTTGTTAACCTTATTAATTCACTGTTCATTACTATTAAATATTATTTATTTCAGTGTTGCTCACATCGTGATAGGTGCTGTCCATGTACATATTAAGACACATTTTTGCATCGCCAATTATCTCATATTAAAACTCTGGGGTTTTCATTAGCTGCTATTCTTCCAGATGTAGAAAGTATATTTCATCTCATCTCAAATTTAGATTTTGTCTTGCATCCCTTCAATATGGGCTGAAATGAATAGGCTACTTTCTTCTCTGTTCTCACTTAGGACATGGGATCAAATTGTCACAGTGGAATTTTGGCACCTCCTGCTGTAGCAAGAGATCAAGACTATCAGCCTCAAATCTTGATTATAGAGTGGGCTTTCCAGAGTAGGGAAGATATTCACAGAAATCCGTATTTCAGGAAATACATGGGGAAAAGTTGACATTTTATGTTTAACTTCACCACATCAGAGACTAATGGATTTCATCTAACAGTAACCCAGTAGACTCAGAGAAGGCACTATCATGTGACAGAAATACGTATTTTCTGGGATTACCACACTGAAATCTTCAAAATGTAGCACAAGGAGTCCCTTCCATCAAAATGGTGATGCCTAGTGGACGAGTGTGGACTGAGCACTATGTTGCTTTCTGGAAGATCTCTAGCACCAAAGTAGACTCCTGTTTGGATCAAGAAGCTACTATGAGTCTCACTAAACATCCTTTGCCCCTCCAAGGGGCAAAAGACTTAAGCAAATAAGGTTTCTCAATGTAAGTTTACAGTCACTTAGCTAGAGTGGAACAAGAAATTGGCTGCCCTCTCCAGGAATTTACCCCATACTTGTGGGCTCAGTTTAGCATTTGTTACGTTAATCTCACTCATGGTTGAGATTTTCAGGGTCCTGCTGGGATACAACTATTGGGGGAGGTCATGATCATGTAGATGGTACCTTAGGTAACATGGGTCAATCCCCTGGAGGCTTTTGAAGATGAGGGCTGAAATTTTAAGTTTGTCCCCAGTAGTTACAAAGAGTTAGTGAGAGGGGAGCATTATGGTGATGTACTCTTGGAGGCCTGTGGATCTGTAAGCAGGCTGCTATGTTCTGAACTAATCAATGTTGTGGTTTTTTTTTTAAATAGTTTCATTCCTAGTTAAGTATATTCCAGTAATCAAGCCTGGAGAGCATAAATGCTTAGTCTGAATGTAACAGGTTTTGGCCAGCAGTAGGTGAGAAAAGGATTTTTTTTTGGTAAAAAAATAAAAATAAAAATAGTTGTGGCTAATGAGGTATCCAGTGCAATGAGGAGACCAGATGAACATGTACACCATTTCCACGATTTGAGGGCAGACACCCTCAAAGAAGCGTGATGTTATGGAGATGGCAAGTTCTTAACAGTTTCTGTCCCTCTCTGACATCAGCCCCATCTCTGTCCTTCTGGATTCAGTTTCAGTCAGCTGCTACTCTTCATCCAGCCAGGCTCTTGGAGAGCTGGAAAACTGTGCTGCTTGAGTCTGATGTGGTACTTGTGACTTTCCTGATGGATGGAGGAAGGGAAAGCTTGACTTGAGGGAACTACAGGTCACTTTTGTTTTCTTGGCATTAGTGTGATTAGCCTTAATTGTCTCCCTAATATGATTTCCATCATGAGGCAGCAGGCCCTTAAGCGTCTGTTGTACCTACTTCCGAAGGCCAGACACTTGCCGCAGCAATCCATAACTATAGGCATCTGGTTCCAGAGGCAGTTGCTCTTACTGTGGTATCTGCAATATCAAGCAACTTTCCAACTGCCTTGATAACATTTCTGAATTCTTTCTGTTCTTCAAGGAAAGAATATATGATGTGGCAAGACTTGCTCCACATTTTGTACTCATAGTAGCCCATGTGAGACAGGCAGTTTCCTATGCAAGTGGCAAACTCAGCAAATTATGTTTCTGAAGGAAATCAGCATCTGGAATTATGGCAAGGCAATAGAAAGAATGGATACCTGTGTTGTAACTGTTGTTCTTCCAGATGTGGTTGCACATATGTATTCCACTGAGGTATTCGCTTGCCCAACAAGCTGGACCCAGAGTTTTCTGCAGCAGTAGCCATCAGGGCAGTGCATATGTCCTGTATCTCCCCATAACCCTTCCAGAAGCTACGTAAGTGCAGTGCCACCTCAACACCCCTCAGTTCCTTTACAATTGAATATGGGGGGTGTTAGGATATCGATATTCAGGCCTGTCTGTAAAGGCCTATACTTTAAGAATTTAATTGTATTCTTATCACTTGGCTAGTTATAGAGGTATAAAAGAAAGAATCAAAATCACTGTCTGCCTGTGTAAGGTCCTTCTCTTACTGTGACAGTCTGAGGCCCTGTGCTTAGGCAAAGATCTTTGGCTAAGCAACAGAGGCAGCCATAAGCTGAGAAGCGACCGGTCACCTCCTCACATTCCAAACTAGTCACATTGAAATAAGGTGCTATTGGGCTGTTAGGAATACAATCCTGTCCTGATAATGCCGGTCACCTCCAGAGAAAGGGAAGTGCCTAGAAGATGTAAAAGGAAACTTAGTTTGATAGCATCCTGTCTGGTAAGAACTCACTTATCAATAGCTGGGATGTGAAATCCTCACTTCTGTATTGTTTTGTCATTATAGTTCCCACTTTGCTATTGTTTGTCTGTATAATCTCTGTCTGGTTCTGTGATTGTTTCTGTCTGCTGTATAATTAATTTTGCTGGGTGCAAACTAATTAAAGTGGTGGGATATAATTGGTTACATAATCATGTTACAGTATGTTACGATTGGTTAGTTAAATTTCAGTAAAATGATTAGTTAAGGTATAGCTAAGCCGAACTCAAGTTTTACTATATAGTCTGCAGTCAATCAGGAAGTAAGGGGGAAATGGGAACAGGGAATAGGGGTGGGGAAATTGGAATCATGTTTTGCTAACTTGGGGAATGGGAACAGGGACACAGGTAAGGCTCTGTGGTGTCAGAGCTGGGAAGGGGGACACTCAGGAAGGAAACTGGAATCATGCTTGCTGGAAGTTCACCCCAATAAACATCAAATTGTTTGCACCTTTGGACTTCGGGTATTGTTGCTCTCTGTTCATGTGAGAAGGACCAGGGCAGTAAGTGGGTGAAGGAATAAGCCCCCTAACAGGGGGGTCAGGACTCCAATGCAGATGTGATAGAAGGCGGGTCCTGGCATACATGTGTGCAACCATATCTCTAAAGGACAACCCTTAGAATACAGGTATGTAACTTTTTTCTTTTTTGCGTGGTTGCACACACATATTTCACTCAGATGACTCATAAACAGTACTCTTAGGAGGTGAGACTTGGAGTCTACTTAAATAATGACTGCAATGTTGCTTTCCTAAAGTTGCAGCAGCTCTTGAAGCAGTTGTGATGGCATAATTATGAGTGAAGATACGCTTCCACAGAGGACCAAGTAGCAGCCCTACAGATATCCAATATAGAAGTGTTTCTCAGAAAAGTTACCGAGGTAGCTTGAACTCTTGCTGAATGGGCCAATAGTCCCTGTGGAGGAGGTGTATTTGCTAAACTGTACGTCATTATGATACAGGAAGTAACCCATCTAGAAAGTGTCCATGCTGAAACAGGTTGGCCTCTCACTCTGTCAGAATACAAAACAAAGAGCCAAGCCAAGGGGACAACCTGAAACATCAGAGCCATTAAACACAGAATCATAGAACTGGAAGGGACCTCGAGAGGCCATCTAGTCCAGTCTCCTGCACTCGTGGCAAGACTAATTATCTAGACCATTCCTGACAGGTGTTTGTCTAACCTGTTCTTAAAAATCTCCAGTGATCTTCACAACCTCCCTAGGCAATTTATTCCAGTGCTTAACCACCGTGACAGTTAGGAAGTTTTTCCTAATGTCCAACCTAAACCTCCCTTGCTGCAATTTAAGGCCATTGCTTCTTGCCCTATCCTCAGAGGTTAAGAAAAACAATTTTTCTTCCTCCTCCTTATAACAATCTTTTACATACTTGAAAACTGTTATGTCCCCGCGCTGTCTTCTCTTTTCCAGATTAAACAAACCAAATTTTTTCAATCTTCCCTCATAGGTCATGTTTTCTAGACCTTTAATCATTTTTGTTGCTCTTCTCTGGACTCTCTCCAATTTGTCCACATCCTTCCTGAAGTGTGGCGCCCAGAACTGGACACAATACTCCAGTTGTGGCCTAATCAGAGCGGATTATTAATGAGCTCCTGGAGAGACTCCACTTAGCTCGGATCCTTACAAAATTAGACCTGCGTGGAGTGAAAAACAGCCATTTTGAATATTTGGCTATGCTGTTTGGCCTCTGTAATGCTCCCGCTACTTTCTAGCATTTTATGAATGAAGTATTTAGGGATATTCCAGATCAGTTCATGGTCACCTATTTAGCTGACATTCTCATTTTCTCTGAAAATCAAGAGCTCTGTATCTGTATCATTCTAGACTGGCTTAGTCAGAACCACCTCTGTGCCAAGTCAGAAAAATGTGAATGTGACAAGAGTTTCTGGGTTATGTCGTATCCCTCGCAGGACTCACCATGGACTCCTGCAACGTAACGGTGATTACAGCCATGTCCTTCTTTGAATGGTTCCAGTATATCTTATGAGTTTGTTTTTGGGGAAGACCTAGAGAGGAAGACCAACCCCACTTTCTCCCAGGAGAAAGTCCAAGTCCAGGGGTCTGTCAAAAACCACTATAGCCTTGGTAGTGAACTGTGTACAGGTGGCAGGGTATTCAAATAAGGGCCCTGGGGAGAGAAGAGTCTCACTGCCTGTTCCATTAAGTGTTGCTTGAGGCATAGATCTCTGGAAAACTGTGTTCTCTTGAAAAAATGGCTGATACTGCACCTTTCTTTAATGTATCCCTCACAAAAACACAAAAGCCAACACATGTAGAGGGCACTATTTGAGACAGACACCCCCGAAAGGCAGTGCTTTAAGCTCAGTGAGTGCTGCATGCCATCGATGCCTAACACTGAAAGCCAAGTACTACACACTTTAAAAACAAAAATAAAATCATAAAGGAAGCCTAACTACAGGATACTAACTGCTAAGTAACTATTTACAAAAAAGGCAGAGATCTGCTCACTGACTATGCAGAGAAAAAAACGTGGTAAACTACAAAAGGTGCTCTGACTCAGGCCACGAGCAGTGAGAAGGAACTGATTATGGGTGTGATGGCATCCCCACTCTCCCAACATAGCTTCAGGAGGGGCTATGAGTTGGCGTAGGGCACATGCACCACCTCAACAGGTACTGCTGCAGAAAACAGTCTGGCTCCTATGCACCAGGCACACACACACACACACACACAGGGGCAGATTAGGCACCCCTAGGCATAGCATTTTCAGTGCCCCCCTGCCTACAACGGACCTATGTGTAAGAGTCCTGGGTGGTTTGAGCATTGGCCTGCTAAACCCACGGTTGTGAGTTCAATCCTTGAGGGGGCCATTTAGGGATCTGGGGCAAAAAAAAAAAAAAAAAATTGGGGATTGTGCCTGCTTTGAGCAGGGGGTTGGACTAGATGATCTCCTGAGGTCCCTTCCAACTCTGATATTCTATGATTCCCAATTTGTGGGCCCACTGAAAAATGGGTGCCCAAGCCTTGGCAGGAGCTGCTGGGTGAAGCCCCGAGCCTGGTGTCCTGAGCCCAGGCAGCAGTGGGGTGCGGGGGTGGAAGCTCCGAACCCAGGCGCCTAGAGCCCCGGCAAGAGTGGGAGGCAGAAGCCTGAAGCCCAGGCACCGTGGTTGGAGCTGTGGAGCAGAACCCCCAAGCCTGGGTGCATAAGTCCTGGCTGTAGCCGTGGGGGCTGTAGCCTTGAACCCCAGCTGCAGCCACCGGGTGGAAGCCCTGAGCCTGGGCGCCCTGGCTGAAGCAATGGAGGGCTGAAGCCCTGAGTCTGGTTACCCAAAACCCCATGGCAGGACCAGGAGGGAGGGTGGAAGTCTCCGCCCAGGCAGAAGCTAATCTTACTACCTGGCTACTGCAGCACATTGCCTGACAACTCTGAAAAGAGACTCCTGAGGGCTTCCATAAAAATACACAACGTTCCCATATAAAACACATTTGGAGGGAATTTGGCTATAAACCAACATTTCAGTGGTCTCATTTACAGATGAGCTATAGGTAAATATGTGGAAGAGGACATAAGCCTCATTAATCTCAAGAAGAATCCCACTGAGACAGAGGCTGTTCTAAAATCAGTGAAACAGATTGGTGAATGTCCTTGAATCTCTTTCCTGAAAGAAAGATTTTGGCCAGAACCAAGTCCAGGATGACTCTATGAAGGATAATCTTAGGTAGGAACAAAAATGGAATTGTCCCAATTTAGATGGACAGCTAAGGATTTGGAACAGTGTGCGTGTCATGTTGAAGAAACATTTTAATGCTTATTGAGAACAATAAAACCGCTGTAACAATTTTTATTGCTTCACAGGCAACTGGCAAGACAAAGGCGTCTGGAATGGGGTAAGTCAGAAAATACAGGAACCCCAGTTGATAAAGGTGCTACCTTCTGAGTTTTGGCCAGGATCAAGGCTGATGTTATTCGAAGGTTTAGTGACTTTTGGAAAATGAAATTTTTTTATGGTAATTTTTAATAAATTTACCTGCACAGAAAGTACTAATAATGGAAAACTTGTTTTTATTTATTTTAAACTAAAAAGTATAGCTGAGACAGCCATCAAGATTTTCTGGGAGCTCCTCCAGTCTTCCTGCATACAGTGAAACTGAAAGCTGATGATATATAAGGGATTGCTGTGGTTTCTCTCCAGAAGTGGTGCACAAAACACACTAGTGAAGTCAATGGTTGTAGAACTACAGAGCTATGTAACTTTCTTGGCAAACACAAAGAGCATACACCCAAGAAGGTGGATCTATTATATGTTGTAGCTTTAGAGAATCTGACAGTTACTGGCTATCATATCATCATATAATATACCACATCACCCCTCAAGAGACACAAAATCTTCCAGATTTTTAAGAGGCTCTCCGCCTTCTGTTATAAACCTGCCAGCTGAGTTCCCAGAATTCGTATGTCACCGTAAGCTTGAGTTTCACAGGATACTAAGGGTGACATAAAATGAAAATGTAACTATTTAAAATACAGATACAGCCTAAAACTGACAAATTATTTGGGTATTTTTTTTTTGACTTACTTGTTCCAACATCTCAGCCTTTTCCCTATCAAGTTGAGATAGACGAACTCCAAGTTTGGATCTGGACTTCAACTCCTCCTCCCACAGATTATGTGTATCTTTTGCAGTCATTGACAGCATGGTTTGCTTTTGGACCTACAGAGTAAGCATTTGCACAGAACAAAAATGTAACAAAGAAATGTCAAGATTATTGTCAGGCTGGAAGTTATAGAAATTTTAGTCACATATGAAGCCCTAATTATCAGTACAGTAACTCCTCACTTATGTTGTAGTTATGTTCCTGAAAAATGATACTTTAAGCGAAACGATGTTAAGTGAATCCAATTTCCCCATAAGAATGAATGTAAACGCGGGGGTTAGGTTCCAGGGAAATATTTTTCCCCAGAAAAAAGACTATATATACACACGCGCACACACACACACACACACATATATACACACACACACACACATATACACACACAGTATAAGTTTTAAACAAACAATTTAATACCGTACACAGCAATGATGATTGTGAAGCTTGGTTGAGGTAGTGGAGTCAGAGGGTGGGATATTTCCCAGGGAATGCCTTACTGCTAAATGATGAACTAGAACTCGGCTGAGCCCTCAAGTGTTAACATGTTGTTAATGTAGCCTCACATGCTACAAGGCAGCAGGAATGGAGGGAGGAGACACAGCATGGCAGAGAGAGACAGAGACACACACCGTGTGTGTGTGCGTGTATGTATGAGAGAGAGAGAGACCGTGTGTGAGAGAGACGCACATTACCCCTTTAAGTACGCTGACGCCACTCTAAGTACATTGCCTTTTTAAGTAGATCAGCAAGCTGAGACAGCAGCTGCTGCCAGCAAGCTCCCTCCATCCTGAGCCCTGTTGTGCCCCCCCCGCTCTGCTGAGATGGGGAAAAGGAGTGGGGTGCAGGAGTGGGAGGAAGGGGCCACCCTGACATCAGCACACCTCTTTCCCCCTCCCAGCACAGCAGCTCCAAGGCAGAGAGCAGGAGCAGCACACGGCAGTAGGGGGAGGGACACCTGAACTGCCTGGCAATTGATAGACTGCTGGGTGGTTGCTGCACAGGGAACTTAGGGGAGATGATAGGGGATCTGCTGGTCCACCCTGGTTCCAAGCCCCCACCAGCTAGCTCCAACAGGCTGCTCTTTCTGCAAGCAGTGGACAAAGCAGGTGGCTGCCAAACAACATTATAAGGGAGCATTGCGCAACTTTAAACGAGCATGTTCTCTAATTCGTCAGCTACGTAACAATGTTAACCGAGATGACATTAAGTGAGGAGTTACTGTACTGGTCTTTTTATCTGCTAATTTCTCTCTTAAGAAGCCCATCCAACAATTTATAACAAGAGCGCGGTCTTGTTACTTATGACTGGGAGACAGTAACAAATAAATTAGAGGAACAAACCAATACGGCCCACTCCAACTCAACTCTCCAGAATGAAGTATAAAGTTAACTCAAGAAACAAAACTAAGAGCAACACTGGGAGAACTGGTGGACAGAAATTGCATGCTGTATTATATATCTCCAGAAAAATCAGCAGGTGAAATTTCTCTATGTCTAATAGAAGGCAGGCATTAGATGATTAGAAGCAAAAATATATAAACATTCACTCCAACCACTCTCAGAAATTTTAATATTATGTACAGATTTCCTGTCAGCCCTACACCAACCTACAAGACTTCTGCTAAAAGACTGCATCAAAAGAAGTCAAACTTAGACAGCCTGGTAAAACTGTTGATGCTCGATCATGATGTAAACTTGCAAATTTCTTGCATGGGTCCCTTACACTTACTTACGAAGTTCTTGTAGACTGACTGAATGGTAATAATGCCTCTGCTTTTTGGCAAGGAGAAACTCCTTATATTGTAGGCTTCCCCAACAATTCCTGATCCACTTAGAAATAGAAAAAAGACAGACAGTTACCTTTTCCGTAACTGGTGTTCTTTGAGATGTGTTGCTCATGTCCATTCCATATTAGGTGTGTGTGCTCGCCACATGCACCAGTGCCAGAAGTTTTTCCCTCAGTGGTATCCACAGGGGACCAGCTCTGGTGCCCCCTCGAGTGGTGTGCAAATGCTGCGGTACAACGGGCGCCACCAGCTCCCCCCACCTCCCTTCCTCCTTGCCGGAAACTCCGACAGTGGGGAAGGAGGGCGGGTTATGGAATGGACATGAGCAACACATCTCAAATACCACCAGTTATGGAAAAGGTAACTGTCTTTTCTTCTTTGAGTGCTTGCTCATGTCCATTCCATATTAGGTGACTCCCAAGCAATGCCAATGGAAGCAGGCAGGAGTTCACAGACGTGTAGATTGCAACACACCTCTGCCAAACCCAACATCATCTCTGACTTGCTGAGCGATGGTGCAGTGCGCCGTGAATGTGTGAACTGAAGACCACGTCGCAGCTCTGCAAAAGTACTGGATGGGAACCTGTGCCAGGAAGGCCGCCGAAGACACCTGAACTCTGGTTGAGTGGGCCCTCGCAATCAGCAGTGGTGGTGGGACCTGTGCCAGCTCATAACAGGTCTGGATGCAGGAGGTGATCCAGTTGGAAATCCTCTGCGATGACACCGGAAGGCCCTTCATGCAGTCCGCTGTCATGACAAAGAGCTGGGTCAACCTGCAAAAAGGCTTGGTACGCTCCAGGTAAAACGCCAGGGCATGTCTGATGTCCAGGGCATGCAGCCTCCTTTCCTCCCTAGTGGTGTGTGGTTTCAGACAAAACACTGGGAGGAAGAAGTCCTGGTTAGAATGGAAGGAAGACACCACCTTCAGCAGAAAGGCAGGATGGGGTCGCAGTTGAACTTTGTTCTTGTAGAACACGGTATACAATGGCTCCAATGTCAGGGCTTTAAGCTCTGACACTCATCTCATGTTATCGCCACAGGGAATGCGACCTTCAATGACAGGTGGGAGATGGAGCAGGAGCCCACAGGCTCCAAGGACTGGCCCATGAGCCTAGAAAGAACCAAGTTAAGGTCCCACTGTGGGACAGGTGCCTGGGCCAGTGGGAAGAGTCTCTCAAGGCCTCTCAGGAATCGGACCAACATGTCATGTGAAAACAATGTCTGACCTTGGATTGGTGAGTGAAAAGCGGAGATAGCTGCAAGGTGTACTCTGATGGAAGAGAGGGCCAGCCCCTCTTAAGATACTTAAGATCTTAAGGTACTTAAGGTACTTAAGATGGAGCAGATAATCTAAGATAGACTTAAAGAGGAGCGCATTGGAGAGATGGTATGCTCCAACGCCCAGTGGGAGAACCTCGTCCATTTAGCCAGGTAGGCTAGTGTAGTGGTTCTTAACCTTTACTGCAGCCTGCGCCCCTTTGGTTCTCAAAATATGTTCTTACACCCCTTATCAAAAATCAAAATATGTTCTCGCACCCCTTATCCAAAATCGTTGAAGTAGGTCAGTTCTTTAAACCTAGATATATTTTTTGTTTGTATATTACAGTAATCGTTAAAAAATGTATAATGTTAATAAATACATAGGTTTGATTAAAGCATTTTGAGGGTACTTATGTGCCTGTGCTTAATTTGTCTTTTTGATGATTTACCTTCTAAAAAAATCTGGCCTGTCTCGCACCCCCAGAAAGGGCATCTCACACCCCCAGGTGGTGCGTACACCCCCGGTTAAGAACCACTGCTCTAGTGAAAGTCTTCCTGCTTTCCAAAAGCATTTTCTGGACCTCGTTAGAGCAAGCCCGCTCCTCCAAGTTCAACCATGCAGAATCCACACCGTGAGGTGAAGGGGGGCGAGGTTGGGGTGTAGGAGATGCCTGTGATCCTGTGAGAGCAGATCTGGTCGGGATGGGGCCAGAGAGCGGCCACCGCCAGGTCCATCAGCGTACCAAACCAATGTTGGCATGGCCACACACTGCAACCATGATGACATCCCTCTGAACTTGGGACCTGGAGCAGCCTTTGATGAGCCAGTCATCGAGGTATAGGTAAATCTGGATACTTTGACGTCTGAGGTAAGTGGCTACTACCGACATGCACTTGGTGAATACCCTCAGTGCTGTCACCAGGTTGAATGGGAGGACCGCGAACTGATAGTGGTCAGGTCCCACAGTGAAACGTAGGAAGTGTCTGTGACCTTGAAATATCATTATGTGGAAATATGCGTCCTTCAAATCAAGGGCGGCATACCAGTCTCCTGGATCCAGGGAGGGGATGATGGAGGCCAGGGAGACCATGCGGAACTTCAGCTTCTTTAGGTATTTGTTGAGGTCTTGCAGGTCCAGGATGGCCTGTAGACCACTCTTGGCCTTCGGGATTAAAAAGTACCGGGAATAGAACCCCTTGTTCCTGTACTCACGAGGAACCTTTTCCACCACACCCAGCTGCAGCAACCCTTCTACCTCCTGTGCGAGAAGACTCTTGTGAGGGGGTCCCTGAAGAGGGAAGGGGGATGGGAGAAAGAAAGAAACTGGAGGGTGTAACCCTGTGACACAGTATTGAGGACCCAGCGGTCCGAAGTTATAGTGGTCCATGCAGGGAGGAAAAAAGAAAGGCAGTTGGAAAACAGTGGGAAAGATGGATCCAGGGTATAGTCTGGTAGGTCGCCCTTGAGTGCACCCTCAAAATGCTTGCTTGTCCCTCTGCTTATTGCGGGTCAGGCCTGATTGGGCAGATGGTGGAGGAGGGTGGCTCGGGCAGTGCTTGTAGCCCCTACTCTTCTTATGGGATGGCTCCTGCCAGGGTTGACTCCTTTGACCCTGAGATGGCTGCAGTGTGAACCGTTTATGGGCTGGACCGGCGACATACAGCCCTAGAGTTTGCAGTGTAGAGTGGGAGTCTTTCAGTCCTTGCAGCTTACTGTCCATCTGTTCTGCAAACAGGACCTGGCTGTCGAAGGGGAGGTGCTGCATCGACTGCTGAGCCTCAGGTGACAGACCTGAGAGGAGCAGCCAGGATGCTCTCTGCATGGAAATGGCCGAGGCCCTGGTGCAAACCACAGAGTCTGCTGCATCTGAAGCTGCTTGGAGGGCCGCTCTGGCCGCCATCGTGCCCTATTCGAGGATCGCCCGGATTGCCACTGTGCCTCAACGTCGACCTGTTCAATTGAGACGAGTCCCCCGCGCGGGCCCTTTGGGATCTTCGGTGATCGGTGTTGGT